ACTAGACTTCTTCCCTGGCTGTTCAGATGTGTCCTTGATGTTACCTTTTATGCCACTTCTCACAATCAATGCTCTCACTGACAATGCTCCTCACCCTATTTAGACCTAATGTGTTCTTCCACTAGTTTTTGGGTCATATATAATTTTGATTCTTTTGACATCATGAGGGTCTATGGTTTTCAGCCATATAACATCACCAGAAGAATACCAGTGTTAAAACATGGAGTTTTCCAGCAGAGAGAGGGTGGGATGATTGATACCACTATACAATGTCCCAAATGTGATCCAGCCTGCTCTCCTACCTTATACGTTTAACTCACTAGCCACATATAACACTTGTCCAACATAGAGATACTGATGGGCTGATTGTAACTGATTATGGACTGATTATGGCTGATTATAACACCCAACTGCATGGTATAATCTTGGCAATACTTGAATATATATGGGATTCCTTGGTGTAGGGATATCCACTATTAGTACAGATCACCACATGCTACTATGGGACCCTCACAGAGGATTCACCTAACATGTTAGAGGCCTTTCTTTGGATCTTTTTATATTCAGTGGGTTCCAAGGCAATATTATGGCTGTTATCCATGATTTAGACTATACAACCAGACCAATACCTTTTTTAATCATTCTTTTACTTGATTATGTTTCTTATGCCATTTCGTTGACATAGCTTTATCACTGGAGATATAAGTGTTCTACTGGCTTCCACCATGTATCCCTCCATTGCAATATTGATTAATTAGAGATGATGTTTTTCCTAAGATTCACAACTATGCAATGTCCCCAAGAGAGTATGTCCACTTAAGAGATAGGTTTTCTCACTGGAGAGCACCATGGGATTATTAAAAGTTTTGCATAATTTCCCAAATGCAATTCAGACTTTTCTCTTCTTCCTGTTCAATTCAAAGCCCATCTCACTGTCCTTCTGTAGGGCCTATCCCTAATATGAGCAATGTGTGTTTTTAATTCACTTGGTTTTTCAGCTGAGGATGGTTAGGCTGATGTCTTTCAAACATCTGTGGATTTCATTGGGAAGGCTTTGTAGTGTTCTGCAGTTTCCTGCAAATAATAGTACAATGTCTTCTGTGAATTGAAGTGTTTGGAGAGACCTGTCATGGTTTGAGAATACCTCTCCAGTTTGGACTTTTTATGGGATCTCTTCCATGACACTGATGAATACCTTAGGTGAGCATATATCTCCCTGTTTTATGACCCCCATTATGATGATACTCGGCAGATTGTGGAACAAAATTTGATTGCAACATACTTCCTGTAAAACAAAAGCAAACCAATTTTTTACAAAGACAACGCTCACTAGCTAGTATTTGCCTGATAGTCAAGCAAATTATCTATCATGCAAGATATAAAAATAAGCCAAGGGAGAAATGTAATACAGAACAAGAAGAATTTGGTCTAAGAGTTTAAGCAAGTAACTCGAGGGCTCAATAAAGTCCAGTGGCTCCCTATTGCCTTTAGGATTAGATACAAACTCATCTGTCTGGTACTTAAAGTGTTTCACTATCTGCCTCCAACCTATTTTTTTTTCTAGGCTGATTAAACATTATCCCTCTTCAAATGCAATACTTTAGCCAAATTCGGGTTCTTTCTGTACTTCACAAGTGACATTTCATCTCCCAATGCAGGAGCCATGGTTCTCTCTCCCTCTCACAGCCACACAGAATACCATTAATTGCCAGAAAAACAATTATTTCCAATACTGCCTGTACTTGCCTTTTACTAGACTTCCTGGCTATGATCAGGGCAAGAGTTTACAGAGAATGTTTGTCTCTTAGCCCTGCTTAATTCTTACTAGTAACAAGCAAACATTGATTGACTTGGCATGCAAATGACTGTTTTTCAGGTTTGGATGGGTAAATAACAGTATAGCAAAAGAAGGTTGCTGACCTTGTTGATAGGATAGCAATCATTATCCAAGAGAAAATGACAACTCAACAGTGATTTGGGTACCCCTATGAAACTTTGGAGCTGCTGTGTGTTTGAGTGTGTGCATGTGTGCATGCATGTGTTAAGTCTTTTCTTCAAATAACTTTGCCTGGAAAATAAAATAAGGCAAAACAAAAAACTGAAGGTTTATATTTTATTTTAGCATAATAATAATAAGTAGCCTTTGCATAGCACTCTAAGGTTTTCAAAGCACTTTATAGTATCTCACAATATCCTAACAACTATACTGTCAGGTGAGTACTACAGGTGTTATCAAACCTATTTTACAGATGAGGAAGTTGAGGCTTAGAAAGGTTAAGCAACTTAATATCCTGGCTCTGCCAATGACTACCTGTATGGCCTTGCTCAGGTCATTTACCCTTCTCTGGATTTCAGTATCCTCCTAAAGAGGCTGGACTAGATGATCTTTTAAAGTCCCTTCCAGCTCTAATTCTATGATCCTATGATCCTATGATGTGGCCATAGCCACACAGTTAGTAAACCACCAAGGATGAAATTTGAACCCACAGTCTTCCCGACTGTGCCGTCTATGTAGCACACCACACTCATCTTGCTTTCCTTTTTCAAACTCAAAATATCAGGGAAATAGTGTGAAAATATGGGCAGATAGAATAGATCTGGACAAGACCTTGAACCCATGTGTCTTCTGACTCTGGATCCATGGCCCTTTCACTACCATGCTGCTTTTTCAACCTATAAGCAGCTTTGACCAGTTGCAATCAATTGCCTGACTCTGCCAATAGCAATGGAATGACAAGTAGGAATAATTTCTTGAAAGGATTATTTTCTCTATGATTCTCCCCCATTCAGAAACCTTTGATGGCCTCCTATATTTTATAGGATAAAATCCCTAACAATGACATCTGATGCCCTCCACAATTCGGTCTCTCTTACTTATCCCAATTATCAAACACAGTGCACCTCTCATATGCCATTTTTATCCTGCATAAATCCCCCAAACTGCTCTTTCCATACTACTATGCTCCTGGCATTGCTAAAAGACCTGATGTTTGTTTTTTCTTTTAGCCTCACTCCTTCTTCTCCCTAACCCTGAATTCTCTTTATGTATATAATTTCTACCTATTCTTTAAGGACTGAATCAAGTCATACCATATGTGTGGACTTTCTACTTACCACCCTAGCCCAAAGTAACCTCTCTCTTATAAATGATATTACTTATTTCTGTAGCTGGAAGCAACATGGCATGGTTACTGAAGAACTGGCCTTGGGCTAAGGAAAATAAAGCCTACCTCTGATACATAGTAAAGATGTGACCTTAGTTAGTCATGTAAACTCTCAGTGCCCATATATGACTCTTGAAGACTGAAAGTTTTAGACCCCTTGATGATGTGAATTGGTTGAAGGACTTTCTTCATTAGAAATTTCCTATACCATTGAAATCACAAATGCAAAGCAAAAATAAATAAATAAGTAAATGACACATGCTTAATACTTACTAAAAAGGGATAGGAATTAGATGTGTCATTTCACTGATACATGTAACTCCAAGATGAGAAAATTCCCTCCTGGCAACTTTTATGAAAAGTGATTGTCTTTCTCTGAAAGAGGTGTCAATGACACTAAGAGGTTAAATGACTCCCCTAGGGTCATGTATCCATTATGTGTCATAGATAGGACTTGAAACCACATCTTTCTGGTTCTTGTTCTTCTATGTCACTTAAGAAGTACTTCCTGGGAAAGACTTACATGAACTGATGCAAAATAAAGTGAGCAGAACCAGGAGAACATTGTACACTGTAACAACACTACTGTACAATGATCAACTCTGAATGACTTAGCTATTGCCAGCAATATAATAATCCAAGACAATTCCAAAAGTCTCATGAGGAGAAATGCTATTTATAGACAGAAGGAACTGATGTAGTCTGAATGCAGATTAAAATATAATATTTTCACTTTATTTTGGGTATTTTTTTCTTTTGGGCTTTTTCTTCTTTCACAACATGATTAATATGGAAGTATGTTTTATTGCACATATACAACCTGTATCAAATTGCTTACCATTTTAAGGAGAAGAAAGGTGAAGGAGGGAGGGAGAAAATTTGGAACTCAAAATTTGTAAATGAATGTTAAATTTTAGAAAAAATTGTAATTAGAAAAAATACTATTAAAAATACTTCCTATGTGGGAACTTGCCTTTTCACCATTTATACATGTCTTATTTTGGGATATGTGTTATATGTAAGCTTCTTAAGTGAAGAAACTATGCCTTATGTTTTTTGAAAGTCTCCTGTAACATGGAGGAAATACTTTGGACATAGCAGATGTTCAGCATATGTTTACTGATTGATTAGGCAACTCAAGCTTTAATTATTTAAAAATATTGCAATATTAAGTGTAGCTTAGACTAGAGCTGTCAAACACAGGCTGTGGTCAAAATGTGGGAAGTATCAGATTAAAAAGTAATTGGGAAGTATTTATCAAAATAAATTAAAACACAATAGAACTTAGTATTATTATGTCATTTCCTAAGTCAACAAGTAGCCATTAGGGATCTTTATGCATAGTTTGATGGCCCACCATCTCTATTTGATTTTAACACCACTGGCTTAGTGTAGACAAAATGTTGATGGCAGCTTAGATAATTCAAAACTTTCTGGCCTAATATTTAGTCATTCCCACTCTAGTTACCGAAAACCTAAGGACCACAAGCAGTTTCAGGGTCCCTTACAGAAATTTCAAAAAGACCCTCAGAAGACCGTAATATAACCTTAATAGATCGTTTGACTGCTTGATTTTCTGTACTACTAGAGTATGGGTCACAAAAAAAAATAAACTAAAAATGGTGAGTGAGTTATTACATTTATGGGGGTCTTATCATTTAATGCTCTTGCTTAGATACATAAGAACATCTTTTTCATGCAGGTTTTTGATCCAACCATATTCTTTCTCCTTCAGAATGGCTTATCATTCAAGGCATCCACAATGTCAGTGGAAGTCTTTATAGGATGAAATAAGTATGGTAGCAAGCACCATCCCAAATATGTCAAAAAACATACCAAGAAAGCTCCCTGATGTCTGAAAGTGCTGGCATGGGACTCCAGACTTCAAAGGGAATGGGTAATATAGCTTGATGGAAGACATTCCACATGGTTACCAGTGTGACAGCTGTGGAACAATTCAGATGTGAGAATTGTTCAGAGTCTCAGATAGCCCTATTTTCTTCAGCAGATAAACACAAGCAACCAAAAAATATAAAGTACACACACAACTGAAACACTATAAAATTAATCTGACAATTCAGTGTTAAAATCGTTATTCTGTGGCTTAAATTCAGGGATGTCAGGCCTTGCCCTGAGGCCTAGGCCAGAGGCATCCAGAATCCAATGGTTGTAAGAACTATGTTTAAAATGTGCATGAAAATATGCTTCCCTGGATGCTATTATACGCTGATGCCTGCACTTACTGCAAGGGGAACAGAAAGTGCTTGTTCTGAGAATTCATTAGTAATAAATACCTGCAGTCGTTCAGTTTTGCCTACCACCTGCAGTTAGATGGTTATGTCCCAGTAAACCAGATCTTGTTTTTAAATAAACCATACTCTTTGCTAGGTCTCTGGAATACCCACTAAATAGGGTTTGAAAATTTTAACCATGATCTTTATGTATAATACTGTAGAAAAAATATTACTTCCTCATAAAACCATGAAGATTATTATATGTGGGTTGGTTTTATTATTTAGACAGGGCATGACCCTTGCCCTCACAGAGGTTATAGTTTAGTTTAGGGTTAAAAGAACCAGACTCTAGTTTTCCATTTTAAATCAAATCGATATATGATACTAAGCAAGGTACTTCCCCAATCTGGTTCTTATTTCCTTACAATTACAGCTATCCAAAAGTAGAATGGGCTACCACTCCCCACTCAAGTTGACATCTCAAGCAAAAATTAGGCCTCCTGTCAGAGATGTTACAGAGGGCATAATTAGGCACAGACAGGTTAGACTAGATGGTCTCTGAGTTCCTCTTTAATGCTGAAATTCTGACTCTGAAATTCATGTCTATAAAGATAAAAGACAAAGCTATGACATGAATAAAGTTGTCCAGGTGGCAAGACCTTTCATTTGCATTTGTCTGTACATTATTACTTGCATAGACCTGGGCATTGTGAGCAATGTGGATTATAAAAATAATGGTGAATAACAAAAATATGAAAAATGATGTTCCCCCATTTCTTTTAAAATGAAAGATACTTCAACTGAAAACTCAGAAGAATTTCTTTCACAATTAAGTAGGCTGAATCAGATCTTCCTAGATGAAGATTAAAAAGAAATGTGAAACTTGGACCAAATCCATGGTAATATTTCCAGTTAATCATTTTGCCCTCTTTTTTATCCTCTGTTTCTTTCACCCTTTCCCATATTTTACACTTTCATTTTTTCCCTTACCTTACTCCTTGCAGTTCTTCTAAGAAATGCTTCTTAACTTTTCATTAGGCCACTTTTACTTTGTTGACACTAATTTTTTTTCCGTAAATTTTCACTATGGTTCTGTGATTCATTTTATTCCTTTCAGGCCTTTCTTCTGTTTCTTTTTACTCTTGTCCTTGGAAAAGGATTGCCTTTTGGTGGATGATGATGATACAAAATGAAAGTGGCAGATTGTATCCTTGCAAATGAAACCCAGTTTCAGATTGCATTCATGGAAGTAAATGCTCTCTAGGAAAAGTGGCATTCCTCCTTTATCTGTGGAAAGGAAAAGTCTTTATTTTAGCTCACCGAAGTTCTCTCTGCATATCAAAAAGCCAAACTATTTTTTTTTCCTGCTTTTGGTCTGGACAAGAGATTTCATCACTGTCTGTGGGTAATGATCGATGTAGAAGCTTCTTCTACCAATTCAACAGGTAACTTTCCTAAATCTTTTAGTCTAAGAAGCATTGATAGGATTTGTCCTCGCTCACACAGCCAACATATGTCATGGACAGGACTTGAACCAAGACTTTCTGACTCAAAGCTAGCTCTATCCAATATAACACACTGCTAAAGGGATAAGATAATAAAATGGACCAAGAATGAAAAGAATACACTTCCTTAAAGAAGCTAGTAAAAGCATTTGTGCACAGAAATAATACAGAGGCAATTACAAAACACTTTTTTAAATTTAATATTTTATTTTTCCCTAATGACAAGTAAAAATACTTTTTACAAAAAATAAACAGATCTAAATAATTAGGGAAATATTCACTACTCATGGTTAGGCTGTGACAATATAATAAAAATAAGAGTACTACCTAAATTAATTCATTTATTTAATGGTAACCCAATCAAACTAGCAAAGGATTATTTTAGAGAGGTAGAAGGAATAATAATAAAATCTAGAGGAACAAAAGGTCAAGAATCTCAAGTGAAATAAAGAAAAATATGTAAGTAGAAAGAAGGCATTACAGTACCAGATCTAAAACCATACAACAAAGCAGCAATCATTAAAATTATTTGGTACTGCTTAAAATATAACTAATCCAGTAAGTGGAACAATTAGTCATACAACACACAAAAGCAAACAGAGTAGACTATTAGTCAATAAACCCAAAGATCTGAACTACTAGAGAAAAGATTGAGCAAAATATGCTGGGAAAACTAGAAAGAAATCTGGCAGAAATTAGACATATACAAACATCTCGCTCCACACCAACATAAATTCCAGATAGATATATGATTTAGCTAACAGAGGTCACATCACAAACAAATGAAGAACGTGTACATTTAAACTGACTCTAAGTGACTTTAACAGTTCTCATTTATTTAGTATCTTGTTAACATAGTACTTTCCTCACAAAACTGTGAGAAAATTAACACAAGTATTTGTTTTCTCTATTTTGCTCTGAAGAAACTGAGGCCCTTAGACATTAAGTGATCTAGCTAGGTGGGACTTGAACTTTGCTTTTCTGAAATCAAGTCCAATGTGTTTAGCACTACATCACATTGTCTATGCCTAAATTCTGAGGAATTCTAATGGTATCACTATTAATAGTTAAATATTCACGTTTATCTGACTTGTTTGCAATGAAAAATAGCTAGAGAGCAACGCTTTTTGGAAAGTTTTATTAATATCAAAGAGTTTGAAGGTCACAGAATTGATTAAAATGTATACTTACCATATTCACTTGCCAAAAGACTTTTAGATACTGTCAACTTTTATATATAATTTCATGCTGCCTGTGTTATTTTTACATGCTAGCATTTCACATTTATAATATGGCAATTATGTCAATTCCTAAACATTTATATTGGAAGTAAATGGTGAATTAAATACACAGAAATGGTACAAGACAATTAGGGTTAAAGAAAACTCTGAGAGTTTCTAGTCATGAGATCATAGACTGGGAGCTAAAAGGACATGAAGGAATATCTGTGGGGAGGTGCATTAGAAGGCAGTCGGTACTATGGAAAAAATCCTGGATCTGACATCTGAGGATCTAGATTATGATACCATTTCTACCACTTATTAACTGTACAACCTTGACCAACTTCTTTTCCCTCTCTAGTCTGTACTGTCTTTATCTATAAAATTAAACAATCCTAATTGAACCCCTTCATTTGACAGATAAGGAAACTGAGATCTGGAAAAATGAAATGCCTTGTCCAAGGTTACAGAGCCAGGATTTGAATCTATGTTCTCTGTGCTTTCCATACTACCTCCTAGCCTGACTCCCTACCCAATAAATCAATCACTTTCACATTACCAATCAATGTTCTACTATAAAAATAGGAAGGCTCAAAGTCCTAGAGGTAGAAGTTTGAAAGACCACGGTATTATCTGTTGCTATTGTCCAGCCCTTTAAGAAACAGTGAAAAGACTTAGAGTGGGAGCAGGTGTGCTCCTATCCTTAAGAATACATCCACCTAGTTGACTCTGAAATATTTTCATGTCAGATCAGCAGGCAACAGTTCTATGTACTGCATTACATTGTTGTCCTGTGGAAAGAATTCCAAGGATCAAAGACCCGGAACTGGAAAGGACTTCAGAGGCCCTTGCCCAACCCCTGAAATTTACAGGTGAGGAAGCTAAGGTACCTAGAGGCAAAGTGATTGCCCAAGTTCACAAAGGCAAACATCAGAGGTGATACTTTCCCTTTCTGAAGATCAAGTAGACTAGGCTTATTCTGGAGTCATTTTCCAGATCAACTTTCAAGGAATTACACATTATAGTGTAAGAGTCTCACTACAGATAGAGCTGTCACTTTTTAAAATGTTTATGCCTTGCTGCTCTCATCGATTGAGATGTTAATACTGGAATGCCATAAAATGACATTAGCACACTCTAACAAAGCATGGTAATATTTTGGCACACCCTCATACCCACATTGAGATATATTGCATGTTGGCTTTAATGTAGCAAAATTGAATCATGTCACAACTTGTTATGAGACCATTTATTGCATATAAATTACTTTTGTGATACTGGCCATTTCATTTGTAGAATGTAGGGTTGCCTCAGATGATTGAAATAAACTTACCAAATTGGTGTGAAGGGCAAGGCTTGACCTACATCTCTGGCATAATATCAAAGGACTGTTGTGAAAGCTGAGGCCAAAGACCCTCTCATGACCTTCCTTTACATGCCATCCTTGTGCCAATAAATAAATAAATAAATTGCACAGACTTTCTTGGAAACATTCCATGGAATTCTCTTGTGCAGCTATGGACAATATCTATTTTAGGGATTGCAAGTACTCCTTGGTGCTCAAGTGTTGACTAAAGGAGGCTGAAAATACTCTAATCATATTTTACAGTTACAGAATAACTTCTATTTAGGGATTTTGATGCAATGTCTTAAATACTACTTGTATACTGTATTCTCAGGAGCTATATTGAAGAGGCTAAAGAGATGAAGGAACTGGTTCAAAGCTGCATAGGATTAGACTTTGGGATTCCTAAGGCAAATGCACATCTTAAATAATATAATTTCAGAAAAGAACTTTTTTTGTTATCTGAATATATGAACATGCAAAAGTATTTTCTATTTCAAGAGATGATTTTTTTTGTCTCTTTGATTCCAAAACAATTCATCTTAAATAAGCTGAGTTTTTAAAATGGACTACAAATAGAATGTAGGCCCACATGTTCCTTATTTCATTTAAAAGATCGTTCATTTTGCCACATTTTTCCCAAGTTACCAAAAAAGGGAGGGACACAAAATTTGAATAAATATTCTGGTCATGAAACAGAACAAGGCAATTTGATCCAATTCAACAAGCGTTTATTAAATGCCTACTATATGCAAGGCACCACGGCATAGTCTAGGGACATGAAGACATAAAGGAAATAATTCTTGCCCTCAAAAAATTACATTACACTCTGGGGAACCACATATAAGCAGGTTATTAAATACAAAACAAAAATGTAAGTAAAAATAATTTCTAAGTAGGAGAACACCAACAACTGAAGATATTGGCAAGGAAATCTCCTGCAAGAGGTGGCATGAGCTAATAAGGCATGTCTAACTAGTATGAAATTATATTCATTCTAAAGCCATGCAAGATAGTTGGTGAAAGAAGAGGAGTTATTATTGATTTCACCAAGGGAGAAACAAGGGAACAGAAAAATTTCCTGAATCTGTCCTGAAACACAGATAAGAGAATAGGATATTTCTTATACTTCAGATTTTTAAACTTCCTTATGAACCTGCTGCCATAAGTGATATGATAGCATGCTATAACTTCAGCCACAATCACAGAAACTACTCATATGTTTGCAATCACCTTTTGTTTTGTTTTGTTTTTGGTGAGGCAATTGGGGTCAAGTGACTTGCCCAGGGTCACACAGCTAGTACGTGTCAAGTGTCTGAGGTTGGATTTGAACTCGGGTCCTCCTGACTCCAAGGCCAGAGCTCTATCTATTGCGGGCAATCTCCTTTTAAAAGGTTTGGAGTGGTGTCATTATAGTTATCTAGACAACACGCTGGAGTCAATAGGCTTTTAGCAGCATTATATGCATAGAGCTGTTGCTTTGACTGTAATCCTACTGTACATGACTTTGGTAAGGCCACATTAGTGAAACATATTTCTCCTTTATAGAGGTTCCCTCAGACAGTGCTTACAAAGATTCTTGTATCAATGCCAGCACATACTCTCATGCACCAGATCTACAAGTGTACATTTTTCAACCGTTACATGAGATTTAGTTACATGGCTCCCTGCTAAAATCGTTTAAATTCTGCCATGATTCCTTGAAAATAGGGCTCATGCAGTCTGTAGCCTTCCTGTAGCAGCTGGCAATGAATGGAAGAAGGAAGGGAAGCCAAAAAGCGAAAGACTAAATTGGTTTTAAGCAAGAACTCTGACATAGAAGGTAGCCACTTTTATCCTGACCACTGGGACCAAGAAGAAAATCCTTTTCTCATTATCAATTATGAAATCCCTTTATGACAACTGTGACTTTATAAAATCAGGTTGTCTTTCAGCTTATGGACATTTTTCTATTGCATTCTGGGTGAAGTCACCTATATGGTGTATTCCTGTCAAAATGACAGAAGATAATTGATTTCTTTTTGTGGGATATCCTTATCAATGGGGGCTGTAATGCTTTGACTGATGGAGTGTTAACAGAGAGGTCCATTAATTGATTTGTAAATAAATATAGCAAAGTCTACACTTCTGACCAGTTATTGATAGAAGCCATTTCCTTTTCACTGGCAAATACCCTTAATCTGCTTCAAAATACACTTTCCAACTCAAAAGCATTCA